ACACTGTTTGGTTTAACTGAACGAAGGTTTAATGGCTTCTACATGTTTCACCTTCCTTCCGCTTATCCTAAACAGATAATGTGTGGAACAGTGAATGCCGGGCATCAGTCGCCTGCAATTTTCTATGTTTCTTTATGATATGTTTTGCAACCATCATTCTGGGAGTTACGCTGTGCTGTAATACGAACGATTATATAATGGGCATCTGCATAGCGGTACTGGGCGCGCTTTGCAGTGAGTTCCTTTGATATTCACTCATACATTAGTTGTTGATTATGTGTGATCATACAAAGATGACTGTGACTTTTAGAAAAGATCAGTTATATTTACTATTAAACTATATAAGAAGTATATGTTAGACATAACGTTTCTTAGTCTCCAAGGAATCATGTCAGCTCACTAAGTGTTATTAGTTGTTACATTTATTTTGGATCAGAATTCCACAAATATCTTATACGAGTTCATTTGTTCTTTCAGCATTCTTTTCCATTACTTCGTATGCCACATTCAAACACGGAAATTGTGAATGGGTAAACATATTTCACGAATACCGTTATCCAAATGAGAAACCATCCAACGCTGAATGGCTTTTCGGTGATATGGTCTCTTCCGTGGCCTTGCTATTGAATTCACTCACCCTGGCTGTGACAAACTACTAATTTGGAAGATAAAACAAACTGGACTCTTGTACCAAAATGCAAAACCACCGCCATTCCTGTCCAACATGTACGTGTACCCCCATTGCGCAGAATTTCCTTTTAATCTTCTGAGGCTAACATTTGTATTGATGCCATTGTCTATATTGTTTTATATACTGTGAAAGCAAATAAAATCATTTCCAATGAAACACACCAGATTTCTTCTTTGGGGCATTCGGTCGACGATATTTTGATCAACGGCGAAGGAAAGCGTTTTCTGTCACACGTGGAAGTTGTTTCAGTGTTTTATTCCTTTGATTTGACGAAGGCAAAAGTTTGTAGTCTGATACGTCAATGGGAAAAAAATTATTCACAGATTAAAATACATCTACAATCCGTGATATTATACACATTGTTTTTGAAACAGAAAGTAGTAAGCTTAAAACGATCGAAGAAAAAACTCTGGTTTACACAGAACAGTAAAACCTCGTAATACTTATCATAATTTAAACCGCAGTATTATTTTCTGGTGCGCGCAATGTTAAAAAACAATGAAACGATTATTGCGAAATAAAAATTTGCCCGCAGGAGATACTTATATTTTTGCACAGGATATGCATTACTGATCAAACCGTGGTCATCGGATGACTTCATAGGTAACTGATACGATCGGAAAGCCGCTTGTTGTATTTATTCACTACCAGTGTGTGATCAATCACTAAAGCAGTCGGCGAAATTTTTTTGCATATGCATACCACCCGATAAACCCTGATGAAATCCAATGTGTCGCAATATTAAGCAAAGGAGAAACCCAAAAGCCTCACATCTTTAATTGATAACTGTATTTGCCCATCGTTGTTTGCGCGGAAATTTAAGGGATAAACTTCGATGGAGATTTGAGAGGAGCACACAACCAAAAACAAAAAGTAGTTAAACACCTAAGGGAGCTAAATGAAATTTTCCTTCAATGGTCAAAACAACAAGATTTGTTAACGCACTACAAAGAGGTATTCATGGTACCACAATATGAACTATTTAATATCGCCTGTGCAACGTGTGTAGGACCATTTTGTTACGCCGGATTTGGGAACATACTTTTGCAATGAATTTCTCAGTGAAGGGTGCTAGTGGCATATCACAAAGAGTGCAGCTAAAAATACCGCACGACTTGAACCCGCTCCATGTGCAGTCACCCGTTATGAGAAAGCAAAAACGTTTACGTTTGCATTGTTCTCTCATCAGCCGGCATGTTAGCTCGGTGTGATGGAGCTAGAAACAACTAAAGTCTGTGAATTCCCAGGTTTACTGCTCTAATCCGATGCGTTGTGTCCATGGATGATAACATCAATAAGAATTTCACAGATAAAACCCATCCTTGATGTTGCCTTCTCATTCCCTGCTCTTACTGGACCCAGTTACTGTGCTGTGGTATATTTCAGTCACAAAACACTAAACAATTATCTTTTCGGGAGTTGTACGACTGAGGGCACTCAATCATCCAGCTTGTCTGCCTCTCTTTCTTCTGGAAGGGAATGAAGAAACTTGGAAGCACATTGCGACAAATGTTAGAGTTGTAAAATATTTATTCTTGTTGTATGAAATTCAAGTGAAAACTATGAGAAAATGAATCGTTTCCAGAGTAACGCTGACACAAAAATTTTAAGAGCAGCTAGTCCAGTGGAATGCCCAGAGTCATACAAAAGAAAACGGTATCTATTTGATTATTCAAACCGTTAATTCACCGCAAAGTATCCCTAACTAAGTAGAACATTATGTCGTTTCGTTTTAACTTCTTTGATACATAAAACTGGTTGCATTGTTCATATAATGAAGGATGTATGAACAGTGAACCAGACATAATCGGACGATGAAATCAGCTCATGCAGTCTATCGAACAATAAGAGCATTTTCAAGATGGTGTATGGATAACTCATTAATTCAAATGAGAGTTAAATTCCTCAAAACTTGTCATGCGTCTGCATTTTGCATTGACCACACGCACAAAAAAATAGCTTGAAAAATAGTTTCCATTCTCTCATCACATGGCGCAATGCTTTTTTACGGAAAAAAGTAATTATAAATTCCTTTTGTTCCCATCGAGTCAAATGGTGCTTAGGTTGAAGCAGTTAGTTGGATCAAAATACGCAACATGTTTGGCATCTGCTTGTTTCATTTTTCTGCTGATAATGGGAAAGTGCAGAATTAAATTAGCGTTGAATCACTATAAAACGCTGTTCACCAGATCACGTACAAATAAAAAGTTATTTAGTTGTGGTTAGTCAAATTGGATGTGAACCTGAATTCGAAATTATTCGTTTGAATAGGAACTAGTTTGGGCTACTCATTATCTGATAAAATGTATAATTCACTTCAATTCCAGCAGAAGAATTACCTGGTTGTCTTCTTTATTTGTTACAGAAACTACAATCTACAATCACGGTTAGTTTGTCGCGAATGAAGACAGAAGTAAAATAAAAGATCAGCATTCTTCGACAATCAACCTTTTGCAATATCCACCGACTAGCTGCCCACACGTACTGAGTTATTTCCCAGCGATTGTTTTGACCTGAAATGCAACGAATAAGAGCATCCCAAGACAACAACGTAAGCCGTGATGAAGCAGGTGCGTGAGTTCAAAAATGGTCAGAGGGGAAATATAAGTGAACTTGTGGAAGTCATTGTACTCAGTCAAATTACAATAAATCATGATAGTTGGATTAAAACCTGGATATCTGGTTCCAGGTTAGCAGTGACTACTTTTTCAACGGAGCTGTAAATACGCACGATTGGTTTGGGAGCGCTGTATTTTGTAGTTCACGCACGTTCCAGTTTCCTTGAATTGACGTAAACTAAACATGGTTGTTTCAGAATCAACTTTTCTAGTCAAGCACCCAAGATACTCGCCATCTCCTGCATAGTTCAAACGTTATGGATTTTAACTGTCAAACCGCAAGTTCTTGGTTCGAATCCAAGTTGAAAACAAAAGTTGGCCGTATGTATGATGCTTGCTTAGAGAGCGAACTCCCAGTGACTCAACTCCTCTTTGTCTTAGTTAGTTGCTCCCATCCATTTTTGTGCTTTTTGTCGAAAAAAATGTACGAACCAAATCATTTCTACTACTGATTCGAGGTATCAAAGTCCGGTACATTTTAGATCGATAGTTTGATCTATGGATATTTTGCAGTAGAATTGATGTACTAGACATTTTTGTTGTGTTTTTCAAGGCAACTGTGGACGGGTTCAATGAATATATGTAGTGTCATCTGTATACAGTGGTGAGGTTAATGATGGACTTAAATCTTATTCAATGTTCGCTACAGCGATGCAAAAGAAGGCGGCAAACTCTTTTGACGTTTTATCTGTAGAACTTTATTTATTCATTTATATTTAATTCTACGAGACAGAATCTGAACAGACTAATCGTGTCCAGTTTTGACAAATTTTCCATCTCTTAAATACATAAGATTTAAAATTGACAATGATTTAGTTACTAAATCTGTTGACCTCTCACGTTACTTCATAATGTTTAGTTTATTTCCTGTTGAGAGTCTCAGTTTCACAGAGACACGGAACCTACTCGCCGTCGACATGTTCCACGAGTGCCTGTTGGTTTTCTCGACCAATATATTCGTACTTCCACCGTGCCTGCTCTACTTCATTATCGAGTAGGACCGATCATGCTTGCAAAATACATAGGATGATAAGTAACTAGAACTGTGAGAAAGAGAGTGAACTAATATTGACATGAATTACGGATTTTGTGGTAATGTTGTCAAATTTATAACCCATTTTCTCCCAGGTAAGTGTGATTATTTTTTTCGTTTAATTATGCCCACAAACAGTTCCCAATGTCTAATTACTACTACACGGCTTTTTACTTAGAATAACGCAATCCTGAACCTTGATGATACTGGGAGCAAAACATATGTATCACGCTATCGCTTGGTGGCACTGACGGTGAGCACACATCAAAAATTAGCGCCCAGTAGAGAATCGGTATAGAAATCCGATTGCAATTGCACTCACAGTCTCCGTTTGGCTACGTCATCTCAACCTAATTACAGTCATTAGTGGTGAGAAGATGCTAACTTGCTGGGCTATCTTCTCGGTGAGCAGTCAACACACACACACAGAGTGGCGTCAACTGCGGTTGGTGTGATCGGCATTCACATGACAGTATCCATTTAACGCACGGCAAGCGTGTTTTGTGTGGGATGTGCTAACGCGGTAAGTGTATACAGGGTATAAAATGCTACTTTTAATCCAGTTCGGATTGAACGAAAGCGTAAATTTTAAACTGTTCTCCGTCCTCAGCGCAACATGGGTTTGGTGGCGAAAATTCTCGCCTTGGTGTGTTGTGCTATGGGATTTACGTGCACCTTGGCACCCATCATTCAAGAACGTAAAGATTACAATGGTGAGTCTCCGTCGTAGACGAAATCCAAATATTGATTAAAAATATTATGCGTCGTTTTCTTCAGTTGTGTATTTTTCATGTATAACTGTTGACAAAAGTTTGAATTTGCATTACTGAGAGATTCATGCCTTTCTACACATTTCTCAATTTGCATTTAGATAATGTGTGGAACAGCGAATGTCGAGCATCTGTGGCTTGTATGTTCCTCTGCTTTTTCATGTTCTGCTTCGCGATAATCATTCTGGGTGTGGCTATCTGTTGTCAAACCAGTGATTATTGCCTGGGGATTGCTATCGCCACACTGGCCGCGTTATGCGGTAAGTTACACATGTTTGTGTTGCGCCAGATACTTTGTTGGTATTTGCTTGAGATGTCCAGGTTTATGTTTTCCTTATCGTAGATAAACCGGGAGTTCAGAATATTCGAGAGTACTATCGGGTGAACTGGGTGTTCAAACTAGGCAAACACAACGGAGGATCAGAGTTGTTCTTCTTAAGTAAAACTAAATTGTATCCGTGTGATGATGCACACAGTGGATTAGAAATGGCTATGATGAATGAGGAGGTGCACTGTGTCTTCGTTTTATCACTTCTTAGCTGGGATCTCTATTTTCATAAATACGAAGCTGAAGACATGGGTTCTGTGTAGTCAAAACGAATTAACGCCTTTAGGCCAGGACAAGTTGATTAGATGCTTTCTGCAACAGACAAAGATGCTCACATTGAGAAGTCTAAAAGTAATCTGTTGTATTTATACCAGCCTCGATTTCTTCATTATCGATTTGGTTACCCAACATTGATTCCGTTAAGATATAATAATTCCTTTGTGGAAACAGATTTTGACATATGGAGTTGCTCGCATTTTTGAGTTCTTTTTAACTTTGCTCCGTGATCAGAGCTACGAAAAAATAAATCACTCAGCATTAAAGCTACTTTTTCGCTCCACACTACCAGCCAGAAGAGAATGGGATTCAAAATAACCATTCTACTTTTTTATTGGCTCCTCATTTTCAGCATTCTTTGGGACCACATCGTACGCCACATTTAAACACGGCAATTGCGAGTTCATAGACGCATTCAAACGACCCCGTCATCCGAAAGAGATACCATCAAACGGGGAATGGTTATTCGGAAACATGGCCTCTGGTTTTGCTCTTTTCATCAACTCCATGCTGTTGGTCATACCACAAGCTAAGAAAGCGTGAGTGCGTCGCTGGGAGGGATACTAGTTCACTATCGTCAAACTGTACAACCTCGACTGGAACTCCTCGCTCAACCATTCAACTGGCTTTCCAGAACCGTTCCCGAGCACCTGTGATATTTTCATTCATCCGTAATCCAACTTGCCAACATCTTCACTCTTCACATTCGCCCTGTCAAACCATTTGTGA